ACATCATGTTTAATTTTATCTTGTTTTAAGGCTTTCAATGCCATTAAAATATTTTTCCTTTTAAAAAATTTTTTTTGAGAACACAAGATTATCAGTTTTTGGTCAAGGTCTTATGTCACAAATGTCCTAAAATTCCACAGTGCTTTTCAGAAACATACCGTCCCTTTACCTTAAAGTAATTAGGGGTGAACTCAATATGAAATAAATCATTTGTCCATTATATTTAATATTTTAAAGATGATGTCATTACTATCTCATTAAAAGCATTAATATTTGTCTTATTAAGTATAGTGTTATTGCTATTAATTCTGTTAGTTCTAGGTTGTTATCATTGTTGTTTATGGTAGTAAGTAAATGAGTGATTTACCATAAGTGTCTGTGCCTGCGTATTTATAAATGCATAGAGAAAGTTCTAGAAGGATACGTAGAACTCAGAAGGGTTATTACCTTTGAGGAAGGGAAAGACATTAAAGGAATAGAGAAAGTGGACATTCATTTCTTTTAATTCTATATTTTATATTTAAAAATTTTACACTGTTATATTTATAATTTTTGTAATTTTAGGAATTAAATTCTTTTAATTTGTGACTTTTTGATAATTTTCATTAAAAAAATTATCAGAAGATAGACACTTATGGGAGAAAAGGGACAGAAACTAACAATTATTGAGCACCTACTAAATGCCAGACACTCTCTATATACCGGGGGAGCAAAAAAATGTATACACATGACTTGTGTTCATCTTTTGTTGTTGGTATATATTGAGTATTACAGTTTTTTCCTTTCTTAAAGTGTGTATACATTTTTTTGGCACCTTTGTATTATCTCATTTAATCATAAAAATAACTAGGTAAGAGAGGCATTGTTATTCTTATTTTACTGATAAGAAAACTGGAGCTCAGAGTGATTAAGCAAATTTCCCAAGTTCATGTAATTAGAATTCTGACTGGGCCTTTTGGAGTCCAAAGCCCAGATCCTTCCCAGTATGCCAGCATTTCTTTTTTTTTTTTTTTAAAGATTTTTATTGGGGAATTGGGGGGATGGGAACAGCGCTGGGGAATTGGGGGAAGGGGAACAGACAAGTTGCTGTCCTTTTGTTCTTCAGTCTAGTTGTGGAGGACGTTGCTTCACTGACCCAAGTTGGCACCATCATTGCGCTCTTCCCAGGCGAGGCAGATCAGTCACCAGCTTCTGGACGGCCTCTCACTGCGGCTGGTGGCTGCACACAGTAGCCCATGGCAACCCACTGCAGCAGGGGCTGCAGCCGATGACTCATGGCAACCCAGCTCCAGGTTGAGCTGTTGTTCAGCATCTTAGCTGTAGAGGGCAGTGTCACTGGTCCTCATATGTGGGATCCGAACCGGGGCCCTCTGGCGTCCCAAGCCAGTTCTTAACCATCGCACCACTCGGCCAGCCCATGCCAGCATTTCTCAAACTGGGTTTCACAGACCTCTGGGAGATAGCCCATCAAAATGTTGTTCTCAGGGTTCATGAGCTCTCCGAACAGTTCTTAAATTTTAGGATGTCGTTTCAATGATAATCTTTAAATAGATATATTCTGGAGCTTCTTTGGAAGACCGTCTTAAAAGAGCACTTTTGGGACATATGAATTTTGTCTATGTTTATGCTAGTGTTGTTACCAAGTCAGATCCTACTTTAATTGTCCTAGGCCAATCAGAAAATAACAGAGTAGAATTTCATAATGCATTCATGCTAAGGGCGGGCCAAATTATATCACTGTGTTTCAAAATGAAAAATGTGGTGGGGTGAAAAACACTTCTCATTCTGAACATGGTAGCATGTGCCCATAAAACTCAAAATCTGCACCTCAAGGATCAGTGCTATATTCATGTTTGGAATGGTAATTTTAGTTTTGGCCAAACAGTAACTATTATATTAAGTTAATGTTACATTTAAGTCTTTTTGGCTTTGTAGTTATGTTTTTATTTAAAGGTTAAATTTATTTTGGTTTTATAATTGCAGAAAGGATATATACCTGATTTTATACCTGATACATCACGTAATATAGGAAAATAATTGAAAAGTCATTATTGAGAGTATAAAGAATGTTTTCCATTAAAGGAGTCCATATATGACTCAAATTTGAGAAGACAGCAATTATATCATTCTGCTTCTTTAGACATAGAAAAGGACATTTATAAAACCCTGAGCTACATTATAGATATGATGACTGGGTTTCTGAACCAAAACCTAAAACACTTAATCTAACAATGGTATTGAGGCACACAGGATGTATTGTTTTAACTAAAGGGCACACCTGGAGAGAAAGTGAAGGGCAGATTCCCAGGTACATCATGTCTGGCCTCTCAGGAACCACTTCAGGTGACATGGAGAGTAGCAACTGTGCAGAACAACTTTCAAGCACAGATGTATATTCTTGGTAACCCTCCCTAGTAAGTCTCCTATGGTTAAAACAAACAAAAGATAGTTTTCTTTTAGGATGAAGCAACAAGTCTCTAGCAACTATCTGTGTAATAATGAGCCATCCTAATCTGAGAAAGTAGACTGTCAGCCAGAAGGAAGCCAATTTTGGATTCAATGAAGCAACACCCCCCCACACCCCCACACCCCACACCCCCGATGTACACTGCTGAGCACAGTGGAACCTTAGTCTTAATGTACAACAAAAACAGCCAGGTCCACAAAGCACTAGATTGTGGCTTTACATAATCTGGCTCAGGGCCACTGAGAGTGGATAATAGACATTTTTATGGACCTAATATTGACTTCTGGGAATCAAGTCAGTAGGTGTGGGGTGTGCCCAAACCCTATCTTTGAGTAGAATCCAAGGCTTTTAATTATGGATAAGTCAGCTGCTTCCTGATTTACGCAGAATACTTTGGGAATGCCAGCAACTGAGCCATCACATCAAGTTGGCCATTTAAGGCACCATTCAGGTCATGGAACAGTTAATGCCTGGAAGAACAAAATGTACTTCCCGAAGTCCTGAACTGGCACAGGCCACATCCTTATTCCCTGCCCCAGCCTGTGACAATTGCCAAGGCCACCGATACCTCCTTCCCTGTACTCCCCAGTACTCCCCACCTTCTTTCCCCCTACCTCCCCGCCCTATCCCATCCAGCCTGAATCTTTTAGAGACTCTCACAGGGCACCTGGGACACAGACACTTGAATGGACGTTTGCTACAGAAAGCAATGGGGTTACCCCTTTCAGTTCCACAACGACTCTAAGGCCTTACTCTCATGTATTTTAACCCAACATCACTTATTTTATATGATGGAGGGTTGGGGCTTCTCAGACAGTGTAATTTTCCTCTGGTTCAAACTGCCTTAGGGAAAGCCCTGAGATGAACCCAAAACGCTACTGTTGGGTCTCCTCAGCTCCTTTTCTTTCTTATCACCAACTGTTCCTTTTCAAACCCTTCTGTTTTGCTGTCCCACCCTCTCTGCCTGGACTCATTCCCTGGAAGAACTTGGCCTTAGGCCTGGTAGGGCTTCCCTCATTACCTTTGTCCCTTTCGCCTGCCCTTCCCTCTCCTTCCCTCCTCTCCTACAGAGAGCTGCTGCTGCTGCTGCTGTGGGGACAGCTGGAAACAGGCCAGGAAGCTTTATTTTAAAGCTTAATGAGAAAAAATAAATTGCTTTGCCGAAACTAGGAACGAAGCCTTGGCAAGTAGACCTTTGAGAAACAGTGAAAGTGAATCCTAAAATTTCAATGGTGAATTTTTCTGAAAAATTGTACAGAAACATATAAAATGAAAAACTTTTGTCTTTGTCATAATAAAATAGATGAATAGAAATGAAGAAGAGATTATCCAGATTTTTCCTGAGCTCTGTAATATAAACCCAGTGTATTGGTACACTAAACTAAGGTTTCTACACAAATGCCTACAGTTAATTGGATGACAGCCAACTTCAGAGAAGGACAGAGGTTTGTCTCCTCCAGCCAGTTCTTGCCAGGGAACGTGGAACCATTGTTGTCAGATCTGATTTTTCAAGAGAAGTTTTAAAATCTAATTTGTATGCGTGTATACATGAGGATATGTACGTGAAATGTCAGTTTTTAAATGTTGGCTTAATTTTTAAAAGAGCAGACCAAACAAAACTTATATTTCATCTCTGTTTTGGATTTAGATAATCTTTTCAGGGTAAAGTTTCAGAAAAGAAGGTGGTGGAAGAAACAAATCTGTCAAGTACTAAGTAAGTACCTCTAAGCAGGGTTTCTAAAAACAGTACAAATGATCACCTCCAATCCAAACGCAGTTATAATCCCCATATATACGCTAGCAGCTCACAATTTAAGTTCTCTTTGATATAATTTGTATAGTTCAGTCCCCTTTATCCTGCATCCCTTTTTAAGGTCAGATTAAAGTTTTGGGTTTTAGTATCCACAGAGTTGACATTGTTCAGAAAATTTGCAACTTACCAAACCCTAACCCAGAAGGTCAAGTCTCTCTTTCTTCCAGAAATATGCACATTTGCATCCAGACAGTTTAGCAGGTTGGGAGGAGGGAACAGACAGATGAACAATAGCTGCTCTCCTCCAATCTCTATCTAGGGATTTTCTAAGACACTGTCATCAGAAAAGGAAATGCAGCTCAAAGCTGCACTGGTGTGGAAGGACCTCATCTACCAGGTGGCAAATTACTAACATTCATGTTCCAATGAGGTTCTTTTCTGAAAATTCTTCTTGGAGATCAGAAATTTAAACCTATGTCATTCCCTTGTAGATAATTAGAAGTTCCTACCTGAAGAGATGGAAATTCCTGCCCCAGATTGCTGGGAGTACCTCACTTCCTCCAGCTCCATTTTGAGAGGCAGCCACTCTCCCAACCTCCAAACCCTCCCCTTGCCGCTTCCCCCCTTCGCCCCCCCCCCACACACACACACACATACACTCCTTCCATGGAAGGCTCAGAAAGCAGGTGACCTCACTCACCTTCCGAGGNCCCCCCCCCACACACACACACACATACACTCCTTCCATGGAAGGCTCAGAAAGCAGGTGACCTCACTCACCTTCCGAGGTGCGAAGTGCCACACAGGCAGCCAAGGCCATGAGAGTGAGTCCTGCCTGCTGCATTCCTGCCTGCCCCACCAGCTCAGACAGCACTGCAGGTGAAGCTGTAAAATCAGGAAATGAGACTAAAGGTGTCCTTGGCTGCAGAGAAAGAGCGTGGAGGGAAAGTAAACCAGGAAGCCCCGCCCCGGGAGGTGCTGGGGTACCTGTTTCTCAAGTTTCTTTCCTGGAAACCAGGCTCTTTCTTAAGACCAGACCTCTGTTCAACCATTTGGGGGTCAGACGATGTCAATGGTGATCTGGCAGCAGCTGCAGAGGTCATTGTGAGTAGGGGGCATGCATCAGAATCACTTAGAAACCATTTAAAAAAAATAGCTATCTACAAGAATTCCTCCATGGACCTATAAATAAGAATTTTGGAGTAGGAGACCAGTAATTTAAACTTTTTAAAAGCTCCATGGGTGATTCTGATGGGCACCCCTAATTAGAACCATTGCATAAAGGAATCAGAGTTTTCAAGGAGCTTGTTGAAACTAAGAATTTCTGGGGACAAGGGTGAAAAGTCATAAAAAACATTATTATCTGGTGGAAAGATATGGAAAAATTCAACCCTACTCTGGTTTTGATTTGCAGCCAAATTATTTCCATTGAAGCTGTTAGTTTATTTACAAGAAAGGTAAGGCAGGTCCGGTGCCTCTTCTCTCTAGGCTGTGCCTGGTAGAAAAGAGAGCCCAGAGCTGGCCTGTGGAGGTGCAGGGTCCCGTCCAGCTTTGTTATTAATCAGCTTTGTGAATAAAGCCATTGGGTAGGGTGAGGATAATTGGATTCTAATCCTGCCTTTTTTACTAACTGGTTGCATATGCTCAGAAAATGTACATAACTTTCCTGTAAGTATGGAGTCAGGCTGGACGATCTTCCAAAGTCCTGCCCTGCGTCCTTCCTCTCAAACTGCACTGCCTCATGAGGTAGCCTCTTGTCCTCACATGGCCCTTGAGCATTTGAAATGTGTTAGTCCAAATGCAGATGTGCCGTGTGAAAAAACACACCTGATTTCAAAGGCTTCGCACAAAAAATGTAAAATACCTTGTTAATAATTTTCATATCGATTACATGCTGTAATGGTCATATTTAAATATATATCGAGTTGAATAAGATAGATTATTAAAATTAATTTTGCCTGTTTCTTTTTACTTTTCTCAGGTGGCTACTCAGAAAATTTTGAATGATACCTGTAACTTATATTTTAAGTTGCACTGGGCAGTGCGGCTTTATAAGGGGGAGAGCTGGAGGTCAGAACTGTCCTCCAGGTGTCAAGTTGTGCTTCTTTGCCAAGCTCCAATTTCACTATCAAGAACTGGAGTTGTAATAAAATAGAAAATGGGAGCTTTGGAGGGCACAGGGCTAGGCAAAGATGGCGGTCTCCTGAAGGAGAAGACCCAGTCACGAAGAGCAGCAGTTCCCAGACTTTGCCACTAAGCAAGGGGACCTTGCCACAGTTCTCGGTAATAGAACTCAGAGAACCTGTGGAGGTGACTGTCAAGCCTGTGAATTCATGTGCACCTGCCACAACCACAGCAGCCTCTCTGGAGCAAGCAATGTGCTCTGAAGGTAAGAGTCAGGAAAGCTGCATAAAAATTATATTCTGAAACAGCCATGTTTTAAAAATTACTTCATTTACAAAATTTTACAAAATTACTTTGATTACCAGAAATAACATGTGCCTAAGCATTCATTCATCAGTCTGCCACTGTTGCCTGAAATTCCCTTCCTAAGAAGAAGGCTTCTCTGTAGTAGAAAAAAGCCTCTGTTCAGATGAAATGAAGGGTGATTATTGGGGAAGAGGAGTGAGTTTTAATCCAACAGGAAGGCTGGGATCAATTTTGATGAGCTTGGGATTACATAGAACCTGTGTACTTATTTGTGCACTCTTACTTATTTGCTTCTCTGTTTAACAGGACAGCTTTCCTTTCATCATGTGCCTATTTATTCTGTTAGAAAATGTCACCATGGGCCTGTCAAGATGAAAGCAAGGGACAGAATCTAAAGATGTGGAAAACTGAGGGGATTTTCCTAGAGTTGTTATAGGTTATTAGCATTTTCCCTCTCCTTCTTGGGGACCACTGGAATGAGATGGTGTGTTGGCAGTAGTTCTGGAAGACAGTTGGTATGACACGCGGAACTAAAAGCTTTAAAGCCTGCATTTATGAAATTACCATCATTAGAATGATAGCCATGGGTCAGGGCGTTATGTCAGCTTGGTGTTCAAAAACAAATCTGGCAATCATCAGCAGGAACCAATAAACCATTGGAAAACTCTATGCCATATCGTTATATAATAAGACATGAATGAGAGGAACGCTGGGCTGATCAGTTTTGATTGGCATGAAAGCAAAACAGAATGAAAGGATTTTTGTGTGGAGAGAACATGGTGCAAGCTATAATTACGAGATGTGAGTGTCTGTGTGTGACAGGGTGTTCACTAGGCAGACATGGACCAGAGCTAACTAGGAAGGAGCCTCCAAAGCATGGGATCAGAAGAACAACTTTAATTATTTAAATATTTTTATCTGGACTTGGGCCTAAAGGAGGAGCCTGGGAAATGTGTGCCTTCAGGGATAGTGGGAGTGTAGAGCCACTGAATGAAACAGTTTGAAGACCACCTAAAACTGTGTATGTTTTTTTGTTTTCCATTGTGAAATGTCCCTGGTGAAGAATACCAGGATTTAAAAAAAAAAAAATTAAATTAAAAAAAAAAAAAAAAATATATATATATATATATATATATATATATATATATATATAGAGATAGAGAGAGAGAGAGAGAGAGAGAGAGAGAGAGAGACATATATAGATATCTCCACCAGGAAAAACAAAATCATTTTCACTTTAAAGAGAAGTAAAGTGTAAACCTCAGACTGTCATAAAAATATTTGATGTCATCCATGCTCTAGATAAAATGACTGGTTTGAATGAAGATTTCAAAACAGCAGCTTTCACAAAATAAAATTAAGCCAGTGAATTTCCCTTGAAGATTTGTCTTGAAAATTCATATGTAGATGGACTATTTTGAAAATCATGTGAACATTTAAATGTCCTAGAAGAATTTACAATTTAATGGACCCCTTCCCTGAATCTTTTGGTGTTGAGAATGATCACCTTTTAACCTCTTTGATATTTGAGTTCTGATTTGTAGATAATGGATTTGTTGAAGCAGGACAGAGCCCAATGGGGGTCTCATAGTCAACCCTGTGCTTCAAATACTTTATTTTTTTAAATTTTATTTTTATTATTTTTTAAGATTTTATTGGGGAATTGGGAGAGGGGAACAGTGTTGGGGAATTGGGGAAGGGGAACAGACAAGTTGTTGTCCTTTTGTTCTTCAGTCTAGTTATGGAGGACGTCACTTCACTGGCCCATGTTGGTATTATCATTGCACTCTTCCCGGGTGAGGCAGATGGGTCACCGGCCTCTGGACGGCAGCTCAGGGAGGCTCTTGGCAGCTCATACCGGCTTCCAGCCACTCATGCTGGCTGCCAGCCATACACGGTAGCATATGGCAGCCCACTGCAGCAGGGGCTGCAGCCTACGCGTCGCCCGCCTGCGACTACGCGCAGCCCAGCTCCAGGTCCAGCTGTTGTTCACCATCTTAGCTGTAGAGGGCAGTGTCACTGGCTTTCATATGTGGGATCCAAATCAGGGCCCTGCTGCTCAGAGTTGGCGTCCCAAGCCAGCTCTTAACCAACGCGCCACTCGGCCGGCCCTCAAATACTTTATGATAGGCTCTGAGTCATAATTTTTAAATACAGTATGTTCTCTTCTGATTACAAAATTATGTTGGGTCCATTGTAAAAAGTTTGGAACATGCGAAAAAGTATAAAGAAGGTACATGTTTAAATATCCAAAAATAAACTTTCTGAACCTTTTGGTGCATAGTCCTCCAGTCTTTTTCTCTGTACATATCTAGTCATTCAGTCATTGAACAAATCTTTATTAGGGATCTACTATATGAACAATGTTGTGTTAGACAAATGATGAGCAAGAAGGTCATAGTCCTTGCTGCAGGGAGGAAAGACAATTAAGCAAGCCGTAACAAGAAAAAAAGTGCCAGCGCCGGGAAACACAATGCTTGGGGCACTAATAGCAGAGGGGTTTCCCCCAGTGTGAGAGTAAACCAGATCTAAAACATGCTTTTAAACCGCAGCCTCGTTTAGTATTTCATAACACAAAGGCATAGGGCTTTAGAACTCACCTCTTATTACTGAACTTCTAGATTGTGGGGTTTTTTCACTGTTATACAAAATTCTGTGATGTATCACTTACATAATTCAAACCCTTATGCTCATTCTCTAGAATAAATTTTGAAAAGCAGAATTGCAAAGTTAAAGGATATAGTTATTTGAAAGCATTTTGATACATGTTCAAACTGTTAAGCTGAAAAATTTACCAACATTTTTTCTCCAACACTTTCCATATTTTTCACATGGTAGGCCCTTCCATCCTCTGAGGATCTGTTTCCCAAATCTGGATTTAAGGACTTTCTTGTGCAGGGCCTTCAACGCCCTCTGTGCACCTCGTGTAAATAGGGAATGAAGTCTCTCTCTGGGTGGCCACAGCCTCAGGACCCACAGCTTCACAAGCAGAAGGTGCTTGCAGAAACAAAAGGCTCCTTTACTCTATTAAAAAAGTTGGGGGGGGGTGGCTGGTTAACTCGGGTGGTTAAAGCGTAGGCTCAAGGCACCAAGGTTGCTGGTTTGATCCCCACATGGGCCAAGGTGCTGCACCCCAACAACTAGATTAAAGACAGCTACTTGACTTGGAGCTGATGGGTCCTGGAAAAACACACTGTTCCCCAATAAAATTTATTTTAAAAATAAAAAAGGGTGGGGTAGAGGGTGTCCCTTCCTTTGGGAAGATGCCACCAGGGTATACGACTTGACAAGCAAGCATTTTCACACACACACACACACACACACACACACACACACACACACACACACACTCCTTCTTCAGCAGTTAGCCTTCTGTAGTGCACAAACTGTACGACTGTCCACAGCAGCCAGGATCTTCCTGTTTTTTCTCTGATCTCATTGACTTGGTCTGGACCATCTTCCCAGCCTTTCCCACTCCAT